CAGGAGTCATAGTGGAAAGCATTAGACAACCTATGTCTAACATATCATTCATTTGTTTCTTAAATTTATCTTTGTCAGCTCTAGAAGCATTAGTTTTCAGTTCATCAGGAACAGGTTCTTGAATGACATATTCCTTCATTTCTTGTTTGAGAACTATTCTCAAATTACGGAACTAGTCAAGGAAGTTTATTCCATTCAACTTCTCATTCTCAAGGAGAGATCGCAGTGATAAAGTGTTGTTTGCAATTAATCTACAACAATGGAAATATTTAAAGTAAGTAAATTTACCAAAAAATTTATAAATAGGTGTTTATTTACATATTACTCCCACTATTTTATTCAAAATTAAAAACCCTCTAGTTTTAATTTTGGAAAAACATCTCGAAAGTTTTTCTAGTGAGTGAGGGTCCATATTTCACCTTCTCCCTAAATCATCTTTGACTTTTCTTATAGGAAAATGGTTATTTAGGTACGTAACACCTTACTAATTACATCTCATGTAACTCCTCCATTTGGTGAACAACTCTTTGTTCAAATCATCTCATGATTCATCCAAATAACTAACCTCTAAGTTTTTAATCCTATTAGAATAACCTAGTTAAGTCATTACCATTATTTCAACCGAAGAATATCACTTGCTTATTTTTCGCGTTTAACCAAGATAGATTTATGTGCCAATGCTTTGGAAAAGCCCACACAATATCGATCGAAGTCTTAACGAGGGTAAATATTGGATGGTTATGCTAACATAGATTATAAAGATGGATTTGCAAAATTATCTAATCATTGTTAATATTAGGCCCTTTATTGATCTCATCAAGGTTTATTCTTATTTTACCATGCTAATGTGTCATTTGTTTCATCACATACATGACTGATATGAACAGTAAATAAAATGCAATGGTTATACCCCACAACAAAAACTAAGGTAGCCCATCCAAAGCCAATGGGAGAACCAAGAATCCTAAAACCTAAGACTGCTTCTCAAGCAACTTCTCGCCTTTAGTCAGTCCATTCGTCTATTTCTCTGTAACTTCAAGGGATTACAATTCAAGAAACTTGTTTTACATACGAGGGAGTAAGATAAGAAGAGAAATATAATTGAAATATAGAAAGACATGGCACGCAGGCCGTATTTAAAATTTACAACCACTGTAATTTAAAAGGGCTATAACCATGCATGTCAAACACCGTGAAAATAAACATATCATATACATGTTATTAAATTTTATTTTTTAATTACCAATATTGGCCTACAATCTATGGTTCGTACGAAGGGGTCAAGGGGAGGAGACCCTTATGGCGGTAGGCCTCGCTGGCGTTGCCGGTCGGAAATTTTCAAAAACAACACTTACTGTTTCTATGAAAAACCTTGTGATTTGATAACATTTATCAACAAAATCGAGTTTTTTATATTGGAACAATAGTTGTCCCTTTGTCGAACGCGACCTATTATCGCATACCCACCGATCGACATGTTAACAATTAACATATAAATATCATAAACTCTTGTAGCAAACCAATATATGACTAACTCTTAATCAGTGATTATAAATTTAATAGATTGATGTATTAATCATAGCAGTTATCAAATCGAACAATAATATCATGCATATTCGCCGAAAAATATAAAACTAAACATGTATCTCATACATATTGCACCAACCAAGAATTTAACACGAATTCGGATCGTACAAATGGCCTTGATACCACTGTTGGGACTGTCAGAGCACCTATGGTGCAGCGGAAACAAAAAATGTGACGGTCTCACCAGATATCCAAGTACGTTAAATCCAAAAGCGAGAGGAAGAGATGCGATTACTTACATTGGGTTCCTTGAAATCAACAAATACAACAACGACTAATGGAAATCACAAACAGTTCGAATCCTAGCCTCCATAAAAATTTGTATCGACCTCTACTTAGTTCACCTGGTTGAATAGATATTAAGCTCAAAACCTTTTCTAAAAGGGTTCTAGGAATTTTGGAATTTTTCAAAAGATATGAAAACAAATGCTAAACCAATATATCCCTTATATATGTGCCGCCCTAAGTATTAGGGCGTTTTAAAAATTATGAATTTAATTGGGAGTATAATTACTTTAATTATATTATTAAATCTAGTATTCTTGTGCAATTAAAATTACTCTCTCTCTCTCTCTCTCACATATATATTAAACACTTAATTTATTCATGTACAATCAAATTGTATATATGTGAAACATTTATGAGTTAATCTTTTTTCAACCATTGGGTGCAACCCTGTAGGTTCCTATAATGTTAGTAGTAATAATTAGAACTATTATAATATTACAAACAATGAGTGACATCTAGCAATATGTCATTGTTACCTAAGTTACGATAAGTCATGATTCGACATAACATGTTTGTGACTAACTCTTTTAATGTATTATATCATTTTGTCCTTTATATCTATAATAGGCACAAGTCTTGGAACAATCACACTTGTGTAGCCCATCTATTATTTCTTGATAGCTTGAGTATACTATAATAAACGAATAATTTGTCATATTTCATATAAACTTATTCGAGCATGGCCATCCATTTCTAGTCTCACTCAATCAAATGGCATGTGATATATTTCCTATTATGTAGGAAGGACAAATCCTATCTCGATGATTCTCACCCCATTATATATATCGTGATATGTTGAATGTAAGTCTTTATAGTGCAACCAGTTATGGAGCACGCTTAACTTTATCAAAGCATACAACAATATATGTTGAGATTGTAATGATCTCAAGTCTAAGGATTATGCATATAGTTGTCACTATGAGCAATATTGTGACCATGACATAATAATCCAAGACATATGCTTATAGCAGGTCAATCCAATATATTGTTCTCTAACAAATATTCATGTATTAATTTTTGATATCTCTATGTCAATGACAACTCTTTGTCATCAATTAATACCATGTTAGTCTTAAGCTTATTATTACTATCCATGCACATAATAATACTTTACTAAGGATCTTTTAATAATAATCACATTATTATACGGACATTATTATCTTTTAGATTATTTGATGCACAAAAATTCAATAAAAGTAAATACCGGTAATTCCTTTATTTGATAAATACAGTAAATAAAACGTGTCAATTCAATCGTCATATGATTGGTCTTTGGGAATACTCTAACACTTCAAATTGTAGATATGGTATCTTCTAAGAATTCATTTGAAATTGAACTCTCAATGAAATATGAGGACATGTGTCATGGGGAAAGATAATATGTGCAATGTTTCTGTGTGTAGAAAATTCTATGAATTTTTCTTATTAGCAGGGATGAGAATGGGTCGAATTAAATTAGATCTCTGATTTCTGATTTCTTCGGACTCAATTCTAAAATAAAATCCTTCACCAATACTCCATTCGATCTGAGAAATGTTTATACATTTTGGTTTTAACCTATATTTACAGAACTTTACCCGTGAATGAATCAACTACTAAATCTCTGCACAAATAATAATTGACAAAAAGGTACCTAAGGCTATTATACTTTTTTAATGAAAAAATCAGTGTGGCCTTTGAAAATTTTTCCACTCAATGTAACCCTTAAACTTAGAAAAATAACCTAATATGACACTTTGACCAACGATTTTCGTTGTTGACCGTTACGATGCCATTAAAATGTCAACGAGAATTAGAACAATTTTAGTATAAAATAGTCAAATGAGCACATTATGAGGACTAGAAAGATGAGCACTATGAGACTCTTCTTGAATAACTATAAAATAAGCTTTGTTAACTGAAGGTAGCATTTATATTAAAAAAATAACTTCAAACCATAATATATGTCTCGTTAAGGCCCATCATAAACTGAAATATGTGTTTCTAAGCCTGATGATTAATATTCCTCTAGGTATTCTCACAAAAACACAATGATAAGAGAACTATGGCAGTATATTCATCCCATAAGAGTTTAAGATTGGTAAAATAGTCAAAGATAGATAAATCACCTTGATTAAGTAACATGATTTCTATAACACCTCGATTTCTAAGATAGTAGTTTTGGGTAAACACGAGTGAGTTAAAATATTCCAAGTGTCCATTAAGGAGTTTTATGCCACTACAGCAAAAATGTTCTTTAGCGGCGTTTTTAGAGTAAACGCCACTAAATTTAAATATATAGCGGCGTTTATATTCCAAATGCCACAAAATGGTAACTTTAGCGACATTTCTTTACAAATGCCGCAATATGGTTCATCTATAGTGGCATTTTTTTTGACAAACGTTGTAATAGGTCCATCTATTGTGGTGTTTTTTCAATAAACGCCGCAACAGATTAATACTATAGCAGCGTTTTTATACAAACGCCGCAATAGATCCATTTGTAGTGGTATTTTTCAATAAACGCCGCAACAGATTAGTTCTTTAGCGGTGTTTTTATACAAACGCCATAATAGTGTCACCTATAGTGGCATTTTTAGTAAACGCCGTAACAGATTAGAACTTTAGCAATGTTTTTATATAAACGTCGCAATAGTATTTACCTATAGTGGTATTTTTTCAATAAACACCGCAACAGATTAGAACTTTAGCGGCGTTTTTATACAAATGCCGCAATAGTTTTTACCTATAGTGGCGTTTTTTCAATAAACGCTGCAACAGATTATAACATTAGCGGCGTTTTTATACAAACACCGCAATAGTATTTACCTATAGTGGCGTTTTTTCAATAAACGCTGCAACAGATTATAACATTAGCGGCGTTTTTATACAAACACCGTAATAGTATTTACTTATAGTGGCGTTTTTAAAATAAACGCCGCAATTGTTTGAACTTATCTAGGGTTTTAGATTCCCCTTTTATTCCCCTTTTAAATAAACGTCTCTCTCATTCACCTTTTAACTTCCCCTCTTCTCTCACTTTTATCGTATATAGGGTTCACTTTTATCGTATCTAGGGTTTTAGAATCCCCATTTTCTTGCTAAAATCAAGCTTGTTTCTTTCTCCTTTATGCAATTCCTTCACAATGAGCAACAACGAAGGGATTAACTTCAACATGTCCGGCCTCGGCGATGGTAGTGATCCCTTGCAGTTCTTAATATTTCAGCTCCACCGCTTCACTGTTATCGCTTCCCTCACTGTTTTGAAAGGACATGGATTTTGAATACGGGTAGTTATGTTCGGATTTTGCTTAAGTTCGGATTTTGCTTAAGTTCTTTCATGTAATTAGATATTCCTTGGACAATCAAATCTCCATGCTCATGTCTGAAACTATGTTGGCAAATTGAAGAGTGATGTCTTGAGTTTTGTTGTGACTGTTCAATTCAAGGTTTTGTCTTTTTTACTCTTTAGTTTATTTTCTGTTTGGTTATCTTATTGATTACTTTTTTTGTTGATTTGGTCTATTCTTAGCTCTTGGAAAACTATAAAGTCTTTTCTTTGTGTTCTTTCAGTTCATTCAAGGGATGGTTTTGTACCTATTTGATTATGTTCCCTTTTGCGTCTTGAAACCCTGTTTTACTTTCACACTTTTGTTTTCACTTGTTCCCCAATCATAGAGTGATTTAGAGTATCTCCATATTTTATTGAAAATCCGTTAATTGCTTGTTGGATGCTTTGCTCTTAGGTTTCTCAAATTATTGGGAAGCCAGACCTAGCCCCAGTTGTATGGGTGAGAAAGCTTGTTACTCTGTGTGATCAAGCCCCTACAACACCATTTGATGTTGTTCAACTTGTTTTAGAGAAGGAGTTGGGTCGAAGTATAGGCGAGGTTTTTGAAAAGCTTGATGTAAATCCTCTTGGTTCGGCTTCAATTGCGCATGTACTACTTTCCATTTCTTTACATAGCTCGAAATTCTGAATGAGTTGGCTGGGAAGGGTATGTTTTCAACTTTGCAGCTTTTTGAAGACTAGAACGGATAAAGAACATATATTTTCATTAAATAAGCTTAACACTTGCCAAAATATGACAGGCTGTTACACAATTTAGCTTTAATGACACCGTTTTGATAATTTTGTATATTATTATTTTTAAGTCATTGGCTTAACTCTTAATTCGTACTGGTAGGATATTGCTTATGAGAATCCTATGGAATATACCTAATATGTTTTCATCTCTGAATTAGGTTCATCGAGCAAGACTCAAAGGTGATGTGGAAGATGTTGTTGTGAAGGTAAGTCCCGTTTACGATGATATTATAGCCCGAAGTCAAAGGTAAGTCCGTGAGATTATAACTTTAAAGTTTATGGCAGGTGCAACATCCTGGAGTCCAAGATCTGATGATGACTGACATCTGTAACTTGCAAGCATTTTCATTGTACATGCAAAAGACATATATCAAATTTGATCTGTTTTCTGTTACCAAGGAAATGGAAAAACATGTGTCAATATTTACATTGATATTCCTTTCAAAGCACATCTATCCTTGTTTTCCCATTTCTTCTGTTTCTGGGTCTTCTTCACTTTTTTTACTTTCTTTCCAGTGTTAAGTAATTAATAACAATGGCTAGGAGAAAGTTTGATGAATGATGGGTATGGTTTTCAGCAATAAATAAGGGACCATCATACTTGAGGGTGAGAAAAACAATTATCACCCTGAAGGGATTTTAGAGTTGATTCATCACATTATTCAATTTGTAATTAATCATTTTTAATCACCAGAATGTAATTCTATTAGAATGGCTTAGCTTATTGACTTGTCATTTGAAAATTTGGTGTGATGTCAAGTTAGTACATCTGGTCTATTTGTATATTCCAAAATAATACTTGATTTAGTGAATATCATTGGTTTTATTCATTCTTTCATGATATGTACTGTAGATCTACTACTTACGTCAGGACTACAGTTGGCGACACCGAGGCATTCCCAGTGGAAATCGGACTCCACCAGGGGTCAGCTCTTAGCCCTTACATCTTTGCCTTGATTATGGACGACATCTATTGTGCGACACCAGACGGTGTACCTTGGTGTATGCTTTTCGCTGACGACATTGTCCTAGTTGCTGAAACAAAATCTGAGTTGAATAGTAGACTGGCTACCAGGAAGACTGCTTTGGAAGATAAAGGTTTAAGGATCAATATTGAAAAGACAGAGTATTTATGTTCAAACTTCAATGGGAACCAAAACGATGAAGATGTAGAAGTATGCATAGAAGGACACGTTCTTCCCTCAAAGGATTGTTTCAAGTACTTAGGGTCTATGATACATAAAGATGGGGGTGTAGATGATGACGTTACACACCGTATAAAGGCGGGATGGCTAAAGTGGAGGGCCGCTACTGGAGTTTTGTGTGACAAGAAGGTGCCTCTAAAACTTAAGGGAAAATTTTATAGAATGGCAATAAGACCAGCGCTGTTGTATGGATCAGAATGTTGGGCACCCAAGAAGGATCACGTAAGGAGGATAGAGGCTGCAGAAATGAGAATGCTTCGATGGACATGTGGTAGGACTCTGTGGGATATGACGACAAACTCTGCTATTAGGATGTCCTTAGGGGTGGTATCTGTTTCCGAAAAATTGAGGGAGGGAAGACTACGGTGGTTTGGGCACGTCCTTAGGCGACTACCGTCGGATGCGGTCAGGAGGGTAGAGTCGATTACAGTCTACGGTGCCAGAAGGAAAGGACGACCAAGGCGGAAGTGGGATGACTGCTTGAGATCTGATTTGATGGATTTAGGCCTTACCGAAGACATGACCTATGATAGGAAATTATGGAGGCTTAAGACTAGGGTAGTCGAGTAGTGTGGGTCACACCTATAGGGTGTATCATCTTTGTCTTCTTTTAAATGCATTTGTAGTAATTTCCATGACTTCTACTTTTTATACTTTTCTGTTATTGGTATTTATGAAAGATTAGAACTGGGCTTGCTATCGTTGTCTTCTGTGTATCATTCTCGTCATGTTTCCTCTGTTAAAATTAGCCGGGTCTTATGTTTTCTGTCTATATGCAGAGATTCTTTCGCAGGGATTATTTTGCAGGGATTACTCCCCATTACAGAAGCACATATGATATTAATGACTGCATATGAATACTGTTTAGCTATGTATTTATGTAATTATTTATACATGCATTGCATTTTATCTATATTTTTAATTTTCTGACTGCCGGAGGTCTTTCACGGAAGCTATTCTCAACCTGGCGTTGGGGGCAGCCTACTACCCTACCTCCCCCTTACCCCATACATATGGGAATTGGGTTTTGTTGTTGTTGTTGTTGTTGTTATTCATTCTTTCATGATTGTTTTGTTCATAATCTACTATCGGATGAAAATGCAACTTATTCATGTTTGTAAAACATTTAATGATATTTATAATCATTTTAGACAGTTGTTCTCGAGCCATTAAGTTGGTATAATCTATTTGTTGGTTTGACTTGTGCTTTATTTACTTCTTAGATTATGTAAATTAAGAGTATTCTTCCACATGATTTGCGTTTCATTGTTCTTTTTGGATGTTGTTATTTATTGATCCTTTGTGCTATTCAAGATTGGGTATGAATTTGACTTTCTAAGAGAAGCCAATGCTATGGATAGAATTCGCTGTTTCTTATACGATAACAACAGAAAATCTCCAGTTATGGTTCTGAGAGTGCTCAAGGATTCGGTTACAAGGCAAGTTCTTGTTTTTATCTTCTTATAATGACATATTTGAACGATAGATCAGTAACTCTGCATCTTGCTTGTAGGGGTTTGTCCTAGCTGTGTTTTGAGTATGCATATACCATTGCATTTGGGTCTACATTGCTTTGTGTTAGGACTTTGCATTGAGGTTTACATATATAGCATTTGGGTCCGATCCACGTGTTGCCTCTTATTTATAATGATATCACCTCAGCATTTAACATTTACTGTTAGCAGTTGCTCCTATTTCTTTTGCATATGTTTATCATTTCACCATGATTGTACCATATCTTACCGACAGTAAGATAGAGATTCAACCATCGTATCTATTTAACCATATATTTGTCCTCTTTGCTAAAACAGTATAATCATTCAATTTGTACGTTATTCTTAACATATTGTCTTTTTCTAGATGGCGGGTGCTTTTTATGCTGTTTATCATCATGAACATATTTTACTGCTTTCTTACTGATCCTGGCATTTTCGTAACGTGAAATTTATCTGTTTAATTCTATTATAGCCATTTTTGTCATTATGTATTCGTATATATTCTGCCATATAGCTTACTTTTTTAACCTGTTTACCTTTTGTCCACATGCTAGGTTGCCTTACTGGACTACGGGCAAGTGAAGGATCTGTCGAACCAGTTGCGGCTTGGATATGCTAATTTGGTTCTTGCCGTCGCTGATAATGATCCTGTAAAAGCAAATGAAAGCTATAGGTAAACTTGTGAGTTTCTATTTGTGCTTCTAGTAACCTTTCAAATCAAAATTCAGTTGGTTGCCATGTCGCTTCGTCTTTTTATTTTTCTTGAAGTAACCATATTCAGCACATGAAAAAATTTAGAAAAAACTGAACATATCCATTTTAGACACATCCCTAGACTAACATCTGAATTCATGTAACATAGGTACTCGTGTTTTGAATAGAATAAGAATAATAGGCAATTTTTAGAAGCTATGTTGCTCGGACTTTTTGTTCTGGAATTGCTAGTGTTTGGCACTGGTTTCTGACACATGGATATGGGGATGTGACCTTCAAGGATCCTCAAATACATGGTAAAATTTCAAGTCCGAATAACATAGTTTAAAAGTACTTCCGACATTTGTGTCTAATGCATATCCAGATATGAGTGGAAATATGATCATCCAAAATGCATTGAAAACTTAGAACATGATCATGACGGACACTTCACTCAAATCCTAGTAACATGGTTAATACTTAATAATTGCATTGGTTTGAAATAACTATTCCAACAGTTGGTTGAACTTGTAGCTAATATTTCTGTTATAAATAGAATTGAATAAACTCTATTGAAGTAATGCACGAATTGGAAACTGATGTTTTGGCTGCTTTTAAAGAATGTTGTCCTCAGAAATATTTTCCACCAAAGAACATCTTGTTTTCAGTAGTTTTGGTTGCAAAATACTTGGGAATTTGGTCAATAAGTTTTTCTCCCTCTAAATAGGTTTTTATTTTTATCAGAAAAAAAGGCTGATAGTGATATAGGTTTCTATTTTCGTTAAATGAGCACTAGCAGTCTTTACCAGTTCATCTTGGTGAACCGGAGCAATGAAGACTAAATTGTAGCGAATAATATTTTTTTTAATTGAAAGTGAAATAACCTAGACTAAATTCTAGAGAACAATGTCAAACAACATTACATTTAATTTTAATGTTTATAAATTTTAATTTATTTTTTTGTTAAAATTTATGGTTGTTATTTTTTTTTTTTTGGATAAGTAAGCTTTTATTTCCAAAAGAGCAATGTTGCTACAACAAACATCCCTAAAGGGAGAACCAAATACTAACAACAAAAATGGTTAGTCAATGCCCCAATAATAGCATAGAATACAATTAACATTATCAATTCTATTGATATTTTTGCCTCTAAATTGTATTCGGACCAGCTATTTGATGGAAGACAGAACTTGATCGACTTCTCTGGAGCCACGATGGTAGATTCTTCTATTTCTCTCCTCCCATATCAAGTAGATGAACGAAGTCCAAGCTAGTTTCAAGATTGTAGTAAGAAGGGATTTACCTTTCCATTCTTTACTAGCCCAGCAAATCTTTTCTTCCCATGTCATGTGTGGAACATGCAGTTGAGAAAGATTAAGAATGGAGCTCCAAAGTGATTTAGCAAAGCTGCATTCAGAAAATAATTGGTCCCTAGTTTCATTAATCTCATTACATAGCACACATCTACAATCATTGACAATGCCCATCCGAGACAATCTTTCCCGAGTTGGAAGTCTGTCCAAGATGGCCATCCAAGCGATCATACTAAATTTTGGTATGTGAGAAGGGAACCAAATGATTTTGTGCCAATTAACTTTGTTTCTTTTTTCTCTAACAGCTTCCCAAACATCTCTAGTAGTTTTAGTTCCTGCATTGAGAATGGGGAGTGCAGTGGATCTAAGTTTCAGAAGTCTCTTTATGCTCCAGCTATGGGAAACTTTCCCTGCCATAACTTTGAAATCTTCATTCTTAATTACATAGAAATGTAACCAGGCGACCCAGAAGGACCCGTCTCCTGCGAGAATATTGCGAATTAGCTGGACCATGCATGTTGTGTTCCAGTCTTTGATGTTTTTCAGGCCTAAGCCACCTTCAGATTTAGGGCAGCAAAGTTTAACCCAGCTGACTCTAGCTCCTGCGGCTGGTTGGTCAGTTCCTTTCCATAGAAACCTGGAACAGAGTTGATTAATGCGATTTAAAATAATTTGGGGAAGATTGAATTGCCTGCACCAGTAGTTAGCCATACTACACATGACCGTTTTAACTAATTCAAGTCTACCAGCGTAGCTTAGGAATTTGCTCGACCAGTGGTGAAGTTTAAGCTTAATTCTTTCAATGAGAGGCTGGCAGTCATGTTCAGACAGTTTTTTGGTTACTAAAGGAACCCCTAAATACCTAACTGAAAGGAGACCTTCTTTGAAGCCAGATATGTTTTTGATAATTTGAAGATTCCAAGAGGAAATATCAGCTGCAAAGAGTTCTATCTTACTTACATTGAGTTTAAGCCCAGACATGTGATAGAAATGATTGAGGACAGAGATAATTCTAGTAATTGAATCAGGGTTTCCTTTGCAAAAAATTAATAGATCATCTGCAAAGGATAGGTGGGTTAGGCCTAACTTTTTGCATTTAGGGTGGTACCCAAAAATCCCTTTGGCAGCCGCGAGATTCAGAGTTTTAGAGAGGATGTTCATAGCCAGCCCAAAAATAGTAGGGGATAAAGGGTCTCCCTGTCTGATTCCCCTCTGACCTTTGAAATAACCAACTAAACTGCCATTAAGAGATATAGAGTATCTAGCTTCTGTGAAGCAGGCTTCTATCCACCTTATGAAAACACTTGGCAGTCCAGTAGATTTGAGTAAGGTAGAAATGAATTCCCAATTAAGGGAATCAAAAGCTTTCTGAAGGTCTATTTTGAGGGCACACCTTGGGGACAGATGCTTTCTACCATATCCTTTAACTAACTCTTGTGCAAGAAGAGTATTATCAATGATAGATCTTTCTTTAACAAAAGCAGACTGGTTTGGAGTAATAATTTCTGGCAGTAGCATGGTCAGCCTTTTAACAAGGATTTTGGTGATGACTTTGTATATCACTGAGCAGCATGAAATTGGCCTGTAATCCTTTACAGTGCTTGGGTTCTGAACTTTTGGAATTAAGGCAATTATGGTGGCATTGAAGGCAGGCAAGATGAAGGCTTCTTGGAAGAAGAATCTGATAGCTTTAATCACATCTTCTCCTACAACAAGCCAAGTTTTTTTGAAGAAGAGGGGGGTGAAACCATCAGGGCCTGGGGCCTTGTCGTTTCCTTGATTAAAAAGGGCTTCTTTGATTTCCTCATTTGAGACTGGTTTGATAAGATCATTAGAAAATTCAGCAGGCAAGTCATAGTGAAGCAGATTATTCAAAAGATGAACATCTGTCTATTGAACATTAGGATCAACAGTACCTAGCTGAAGATTGAAGAACTCAAGGACTTCTGAAGCCATTTCATCATAAGATTCCAGCCTTTTTCCTTGAGAATTAATAAGAACTCTAATAGTGTCTCTTTTGTTTTTGGTTGCAATGACAGAATAGAAAAACTTGGTGCATTTGTCCCCCTCTTTGAGCCATCTAATTTTAGCTTTCTGTTTAAGAAAATGATTTTCAGCCTCTTCAAGGTTAATAAGATCATTTTGAGCATTGATTTCTTCAACAATAGAGCTGGATCCTTTAAGAGTTTGGATCTGTAATTGTTTCAACTCAGCTCTCTTGATTTTGACCCTAGCAGAAATGTTACTGAAGAAATTCTTGTTTAAAGAATGTAAGCTAGGCTTAAGGCGTTTAAGCTTGAAGAACAAAGCTTGCATTGGATTGCCATGAACAGGTTGCTGCCAGGACTGAGTGACAATTTCAAGGAATGAAGGATGATGAGACTAGAAATTGAAGAACTTGAACGGTTTGGGTCTACTAGTGTGTGTCTCTTTGTTTAACCATACCAGTGCCATGCAGTGGTCTGAAGGACCAGGGGCACAGAATTCAACAAAAGATCTCTGGAAAGTAGTGGCCCAGGAAGAGTTAATTAGAACTCTGTCAAGTTTCCTTGCAAGGAAAGCCTCTTTTTGCTTGTTGCACCAGGTGAAAGAAGGGCCAAAATAAGGGTGATCTTGAAGGAGGAGGTCCTGAGTCAATTCTTGAAAATCCTTCATATCAGTTGAAAGGTAAGGGCCAAGAAGATCAGAATCAGAGCTTTCAGAATAATGGAGGAAGGTATTGAAATCCCCTCCAAGAATCCAGGGGCTAGAATTGATTTGAGAATCAAGGTTTCTAAGGTGATGCCATAGCTGTCTTCTATTTGTGCCATTATTGCTACCATAAATGGCAGAGATGAAGAAAGGAAAACTGTTATAATGACACTTGACAGTGATACTTTGATCAGTAGAATTGATGAGAGAAATGTCAATTCATTTTTTCCAAAGCAACCAAATTCTTCCATTAATGGCAGAATCATAATTTGTAGAAACATTCCAGTTTCCAAAATTAGAATGCAGAATTTTTCCAGAGTTTTCAGGTTTAATACGGGTTTCCATCAAGCAAAGAATTTCAACTTTATGAAGATTGGCTCTTTGGATGACTTTTATTTGCTTATGAGGATTATTTAATCCTCGTATGTTCCAAAAGCAAATTATCATTGAGAAGGGGATGAGGAAGTTCCTCCTATTTCCACAGGAGACTTAACATTCACAAGTTTCTCTTTCTTTTTAGACTTTAATTCTTTAAGAAGATTAGCAACTCCAGAAGCAGCTTGCCTTGATTTCTTGATTTGGACCTCAACATTAGGGGAATTTTCATCAATTGTGCTCAAGATTTCAAATCTGTTTACTGATCCTTTAAGGGAAACTTTAGGTTTGGCTTTGAGGGGTCTACCTCTACCTCTTTTAGGAACTGAAGAAGGCTCTTGTACTATGTTTGAGGAAGATGAGGGCTGGTTGAGAATCTTCATAACAGATTTACCAGGTAGAGGAATAACTGGTGCATTTCCATCAGTAGGGGGTAAGACAGAGGAGGTTGTTTCAGTATGGGGATGAGTGTGACTAACTGGAACTGTTTCAGAGTGAGTGTCAAAAGATTCAGAGAGAACAATAGCATAAAGAGAGTCTGGTTTAGGGTTTTGTAAATCTTCAGAGTTTTCAATAGGCTTTATATCAACAGATTTGTTAGCATC